TTGATGTGTGTTTGTTTTTCAATATCATTAGCATCGCAAGATTTGTTTAGTTTACACATCCGTAATGCACACCCGCCTTCAGAGTCAAGAACCAATCAAATTTTGTGAAGACAAGCGACCTGAGAGCGCGATTCGCAACGCTGTGATCRCTATCGCATCCCATGTGTCGGGTTTCACCTTGGCTGCGATGACAGCCGTTAATCGCTGTAGTTTGTCGCTGCCCGTGTGTCGAGCCCTTTACTGCCGAGAGCCTGCAGGAGTTATGGGCAGGTTGTGTGGGGAGGGGGTGCGCTCTGCCATGAGGAAGTTCGGCTTAAAGACATGTCCCAGGGGCGTTTCTGTTACCAAAAGACGTTTCTAGTCCCCACCTGGGACCTGTGAGTTCTGGTGCCATATATGCACCAGAACTCAAATATGGRTTACAGCTGTTTAAGATGTYCTGGTATTTWTATGAGAAGTGACTTTGGAATGGTCATTACAAATAAAATATTTTTTGATGGAAAACAAGAAAACGGATCTGTTCTCAGTAGTCTGAAATAGAGTGATAATACCATGCATGATGTGAATGTGGTTCATGTACTAATCTCTCCAGGAATTTGTACTGTAGATGCTTTACAAATATAGAAATGATCCACAGAGAGAAGTTGTTTTGGGTGAAGGATGTGYTGGATGGAGTTGATGAACATGCATGGCTTTTGGACTTGTAGTCTGTGTAGGTCAGATAGGACAACACATGCCACATTTCATCAAGATCTGATCATGTTTATGGMTGTACAGGCTTGAAATAACAATTTTCAGTCATGTGTTTGTATTCTTTTGCCTACTGCTAGTTGGCAGTTGCATAGAAACACACAATGATGTCATGAAATTACAAAATCTGGAGTTCCTACGTTGAATAGTTGTTAAGCTATAAGAATTTTTTAATGTCCAGATACCAACCTTTTAAATGACGCCCCACAAATATGGGGTCGATTGCAAAACTATTTTCTAACGCAACGTAGGTCGAAAAGAAAAAATATAAACAGTACGAAAAAATATGACCCTCTCTTCGCGTATCAGGGGTCATAATAAAGTTTTTTTGTCTGTCAGTCATTCTGTGTTTGTCTGTCTCTTTCCTGTCCTCTCAAACCCAACCAGTCGAAGCAGATGTCCGCCTGTCTTGAGCCTGTTTCTGCCGAAGGTTTCTTCCTGTTAAATGGAAGATTTTCCTTTCCACTGTTGGCAATATRCTTGCTCAGGAYGGGAGACTGCAACAAAGTGAAGATTCRGTGCAATCTGCTGGCTTTCTTAAATTGCGATTTTTACAGTGCCCTGAAATGAACTGTTTTGACTTGGCACTATATAAATGAACTAAACTGAACTGATGAACTTTTTGAGAGAACCTGATAGTGTGTAATTTATACAACACAAATTGACACAAAGAAAATCTCAAGGCAATTTACAAATAATAATAATAATAATTTGACCAAATCAATTATAAATGCAATCCTTTTGAAGAAATTTATTGGTCATTTACTTACTGATTCTAAAAGCACAACACCATTTTATCGTTTTCCTTTTTCAGTATTGGTTTCTATATTATACTGTGTGACTATTGTAATGACTTGATTAAAATAGTTTTAGCTATATGTCTGAAGCACCATGACAACACATAGATACCGTTTGATTAAACATAAGGAAAGTGATTCTGTCTGAGTGTGGTTTCAGCCACAGGAATGTGGTGAGCGGAACCGGATGCTGAAGAAAATGATAAAACTTGGATTTCCGGATGTCGTTCTGGGCGCTGCTAACTCTGCAACTGGAAGCATTAAAAAGCACCATTCAGCACCAGTACTGGTTTGGTTGTATGGTCTATTCTCTTCACATTTTAATAAATTCAACATTATGTTTTTTATGCCTGGTTAAGACACGATTTCAGTAAAAGAACACAAATTTTCTTACTCTTTTATATATATTTTTTCTATAGTTGTTGCTGAAGGTTGTTTTGCTAGTTGTGTGTGTGTGTGTGTGTGT